GGCCACATAGTGGGGGGGAGGGGCTGTCTACCTGCACCCTGGTGGTGAGCATTGCTGTTTCTCCGGCTCGGCTTCTTCCTTGCAAGGTCTTCTTATGAGGTCTTCCCAGTGGTCTTCGGGTCGGCGCTTCCATCTGGTGTCAGAGATGGATCGTGGTGGCTTCTTTTCGGCGGTCCATTCTTAGTGCACGGTTCCATGTCCGTTCCGGCTTCAGCTATGTCCACGTTTGGCTCCGCTGCGCCTGCGCTTCCACGTTGCCGTGCCTTCTGGTTCCGCCTCCGTCGTCATTCGACTCAGCCGCTCGATGTTATACTGACCACCAGGAAGCCCATACCCCACCGACATGACGCAGCTTTCCAGAAGCGTGACAGTGACAACAACCAATAGACCTGCTTGCATTTTTAATCCTTTGCACGGGGGCCCTTTAAACATAGCGCTGGCCATGGTGATTAAAGGAAACCTCCGTGTTCAGAGGCAGTAAACCTCTGAATAACAGTGCTAGCAGGCAATATCAGGGGATGGCTTCAGCCCCTTTACCCTGCTGTTGGTTCTCTAGGGCAACTGGTTGGCCACTGTGTGAGACAGGATGATGGGCTAGATGGACTGCTGGTGAAATCGCACATGAGCACACATGAAGTGGCCTTAGACTGAATCAGACTGTTGGTCCATCAGAGTTAATATTGCCTATTCAGAATGGCTCCAGGATCTTGGGTAGAGGTCTTTCACATCATCTGTTACTTGATCCTTTAAACTGGAGTGTCACGCTTCCAGCGCTCCGTCGCGGATCTCCTATCTTTTAGCAGGAGGTGCAGGTCTCGGAAATGGAGGTATGTTACTTCTCAAACCTCAGAATTCTCGTCAGCCCCTCAATAGGGCAGGTCTGACCTTTTTATTAGCCCGAAAACTCCCGATCAGTGTTACTTCACAGCTGAATCGGTCTTTGTTTTCGTTCTAACCTGTTCCTCACCGGTTGAGAGTATTTTCCTCTTTATTCCCATTAACCTGTTTCCCTCCCGCTTAAAGCCATAGGACGCCTGTTTCTTCTCTTCTGGCATCTCTTCTATCGGGTCCAGTTTTCCTCCCTCTTCCTCTCCGGGTTGTTTGGTATCTTCTAGGTTCCTCCTCCTCCTCCTTGGTTCTCTTCTTTGTTTCCTTGCTCTTCCTATCTCCTTGATTCTTGTATTGGCCTTTACGCCAGGCTGGTCGTTGTCCATCTCTGTAGACACTGACCCTGTCAGTCGAGTCTGACATGGAGATACTGGGGGTTGAACCTGGGACTTTCTGCATGCCAAGCAGAGATGCTCCACTACTGAACCACAGCCCTCTCCACCAGGGCTCTTCTTTTGCTCTTAACCACATGGGAACAACCGGGGTAATGTTTAACCAGTTCAATAACATGGTGTGTGGGGGGTCAATCACATAGGCTGGCTCAGGGTGCCAATTTCTGTGGCCAAGATTGGCACTGTCAGCTCCCACCCATGTGGTCGGGTCATTTACAGATTACCCGAGCCACATGGGGAACAGCTGATGGAAAAGCAGATCAGGTGAACACTGAAAAGGCCCTTCCCCGATAGGTTAAATAGGAAAATATTCCCATTGACAAACATTCCTGTGTGAAATGTTATCTTTTGGTGATAGAAAAGCCCATAAGCCTAGTGTTTGAAGTCCAGTTTTGACAAGGTGATAGAGTGTGTTCAACACTTCATTGCCAATGTTCTCCACCCTGGTTTATGAATCCTGTAAGCCTTGTATTTGTTAACTAAACAAACCCCATGGCATAAACAGATAAGTCACAAAGTAAATGTCTTACTGTTGAGTAACTGAGGAAGTATTTTTATGGCATTGTAAAAACTGGAGTTTGTTAGGTGAAGTGAGGTAAGGAAAGTGCATGTGCATGGAATATATACGATTTACTCTTTCACATTGCCTATTGCCTAGTCCTTTTAACTGGAGATGCCGGGGATTGAACCCGGGACCTTCTGCGCACAGAGCAGATGCTCTTCCACTGAGCCACCACTCCTCCCCCCTTCTGATTTTCCATGATGGATGGTTAAGTACAAAAACCTGTTGTAAAATCCAGAGAGCTTTGTAACAGGTGTGACATGGGGTGTGAGTTGGTTTTTCAGCTTCTAAAAAAATGGGAAAGTCTTGTCAAACGAAAATTGTCCGAAAGGGACCACCCTGGTTTCTGGAGGGAGAGGGGGGCAAACACTGGGAAGACCCAAAGGGCTTCTAGGCGACTCCCGCAGGAAAGAGTTGATGGGACTTGGGCTTCATCCAGCTGAGCTCTTCTTAAGTCACCTGCCCCCTCTCCAGTGTTCCCTCTAAGCTGTGGAGTCTTGTGAGTAAAAATTCTACTTTGTGAGCTACTGGCATTAAAGTTGTGAGTGAGTGATTTGGCTACTGCATAAATTAGTTTGCTCTGGAGCCCTCCTTCCTGAGCTGAGACAAAAATGTGTGAGCCAGAGGCTAAAAAACTGTGAGCCAGCTCACACTAACTCAGCTTAGAGGGAACACTGCCCCTCTCCCAAGAATATCAAGTCCTCTGGAGAACAAAAGGACTGGGAAAGAACCCTTGAATGGAAAGAAGGAGCCACTGCTGAGCTCAGCCCCAGAAGTAGTTTCTGAGACACCCGATCTCAGGGCCAGAAGGCCTCCCCCTTCCTTCTAATGCGCCCTCTGGTCATGAACTATTTTGAAGGACCTTTAGGGATGATTCTTTGAGTCAGCTTTGGCTGTTGAGCCCCAGTGTCCTGTGTGCTATGTTTCCTCGTTAAGGAGCATGTTGAAATCCACACTGGTCCTACCGATTTGGGAGCCGAAAGGAAAGGCTGACACAGACCTCCAAAGAAGGTGTGAAACAATAGAAATGCCCAGCATGTTTTGAGAAATACACTTTTGTTTTTGATAATCAGAATTCAGAAGAGAGTGTTTTGCGGAACGAGGAGACTGTTTAGAGCAATTGCCCTTGAAAAACGGCCGCTGGTGGCCTGTAGCCGTAACAACCAGCCGGGTGCTTTCAGTCTGCGGGAAAGCACGGAATTTAAAAAATGCTTAATGCGTTTTGGCCGTGGCTGTACTCAGGTGAGCAGTGATCTGTTGTAAGAACGAGTCTCAGACTGCCGCAGGCTCCTGTGTTCTGCTCTTCTTTCCCTTGCATACAACTTAAATACGGAAGATTTCCCACCTTCTTGACAGACCACAGTAAAAAAAAAACCCAACCAGTCAAAATGACAAATGTCGATTTGCTGTTTTTCCTGCAAACCGGGATTCCAGTCCTCTTGTTTGGAATCAGGAAGTCCTTGATACCCAAGCTGTGCTGGAAGGCTGGGAGAAGACACAGGTCAAAGAACTTCCACGGGAGGGATCCATGACTTGTTATATCTGAATAGAGAACAGTTGTCTAAATGCCCTGAGCATTTTTCTTCAGAGCTTTCCCAGCAGATTGAAAGTTATAGGGAAGGTGATTTCATACAACGGCCCAGCTAGCTTCCTTCCAGGAACCACAAACCAGAGCAGACATAACTACTGATCTTTTAACAGTGATTACGAGACTGGGAGGAGGCTCAGTCACTCCTCCCCTCCCCGGTGAGGCAGAGCAAGAGTCTTACCCAAGGGGACCCATTGATAATGGCTGTGGGGATTTGAAATAGTCCTTCAAGTATGAGGGTCCCATACCATGAAGGGCTTTCAAGTTTAGGACCAGCACCGTGAACTGAACGTGGAGACAAAGAGGCAATGGAGACACTTCAGAAGAATATGTGCCGCATGTACACAATGGCTTCTCCCAGTCAATAGTCTGGGCTGCCGCATTTTGGTCCAGTTGCAGGTTTCACATTGTCTTCAAGGGCAACCCCTAGGGAGAGTGTGATACAGTAGTCCAGTCCAGATTACCATGAGGTGGAGCAGCATGGCCGGTTTGATTGACTCCTAGAAGAGAAGATCATTTCCATGTCTGATGTAATTAAAGGCACAAAAGTGCTCTTGGCTACTAGATTAACAAGAGTTCTACGGAACAAGAGTTACACTGTTCTAAACCCATCGATTTCAGTGGGTTATGAAAGGAGTAAATATATTTAGGGTCGCGCAGTAACTTGCTTTTCCAGCTGGAAGGCTGGGTTCAGCAAGGCTCCTGAACTCCTCACTCAGTCTGTCAAAGAAAGAATGACCCTTCCAAAGTGGCAGGACTGTTCCTCTGAGAACATCAGCCTTACCGGACAGGACATCAGCCTTACCTCCCCCTCACATGGATTAATTTTCAGTTTGTTCCCCTTCAGCTGTAGCATCCAGGCACCAGCTCAGGAAAGAGACCACAGCTTAACAAGAGGCCTCTTGAAGGAAATACAGAGACTATTGTCATCAGCATATTGATGATGCTCAGCTCCATGCACATAGAATCATAGAGTTGGAAGGGGCCATACAGACCATCTACTCCAACCCCCTGCCCAATGCAGGACCAGCCTAAAGCATCTCTGCCAAATATTCGTCCAGCCTCTTCTTGAAAGCTGCCAGTGAAGGGGAGCTCGCCACCTCCCTAGGCAGCTGATTCCACCTTTGAACCACTCTGACCGTGAAAAAGTTTTTTCTAATATGTTATTTATTTATTTATTTCAGTTTATATCCCGCTCGAACCCCGAAGGGTCTCTGAGTGGTTTACATGCAATTCTAATTGCCTAGCTAGGGCCACATTTTTCAACGGGGGAGTGACTGCCTACCAGCACCCAGGCAGCTTCTTCTTGTTGGCTCTGTTTCAAGCGGGCTTCGGTGTAATTCCGGCGTTCTCCCTCCTGGCGCCTTCGGGACGGGTCTTGTTTTCAGCGGCTCCCTCTTGGCGGGTTCATCCTGGGGCGCGGCCACGCACCAGCCTCAGCACCGGATCATGTCCTACTGGCCCCGCCTGCGCCGCACCGCCACGTCACCGCGCCTCCACGACTTCTATCTCCGCCCAGATTCTGCCGCATACGTCACTGGGTCACCAGCTGCTCTGCTCCAGTCCGCTCTGCCGCCACTGCCACCACCGATGTTCTAGCTGCACACCCCACAAGGAGGAGGGTGCCCCCTGCCACCTAGGGGCAGGTACCCAATTTATCTACTCGCATTTTTCTTACTATGCTTTCGAACCACTGCGTGGGCGGGAATTTAATATCCAGCCAATACCTTTCTGCATGTAATTTAAACCCGTTGCTTCGGGTCCTATCCTCTGCTGCCAACTGGAACAGCTCCTTGCCCTCCTCCAAATGACAGCCTTTCAGATATTTAAAGAGAGCAATCATGTCCCCCCTCAATCTCCTCTTCTCCAAACTAAACATTCCCAGGGTCCATAGCTTTCCTCGTAGGGCTCAGTCTCCAGACCCCTGATCGTCCTCGTCGCTCTCTTCTGCACCCTCTCGATTTTTGTCGACATCCTTTTTGAAGTGAGGCCTCCAGAACTGCATGGGTGATAATACTGAATCCTGTAGAAATCCCATCAGGTACATTTCATACAGCCTATTCCAAATCTTCCACAGTGCCTCACCCAGGAAGAAGTACCCAACCCAGGGCTATTTTTGGGCAGGAACGCACAGGAACGGAGTTCCGGCTGGCTCCCAAGTTGGCCATGCCCAGCAGGAACTCATTAGCATAATAGGCCACACCCAACAGCAGAAATCCATTAGGATTGGCTTCATTAGGGGTGTGTGGCCTAACATGCAAAGGAGTTCCTGCTACAAAAAAGGCCCTGGGTTTTGACAACAAACAAGGTAAACAGAATAAGAAGCAAAAGGTGGGTGTGGCTGGATAACCACACTTCTGGTAACATGGGGGTGCGTCCTAATGTGCTAATGAGCTGTGCTGTCAGGGGTGTGGCCTAATATGCTAATGAGTTCCTGCTGGGCTTTTTCTACAAAAAGAGCCCTGACCCAACCCATTTATGTTGTCTAGCCCTCTACCCCTACTTTGGTCTCCCAGCCAAGTACTAACCAAGGTTGACCCTAGTTTGAGTCCAGTGGCACCTTTAAGACCAACAAAGTTTAATTCTGTGTATAAGCTTCCAAGTGCATGAAGCTTTCTGATGCAGGGTGCATGCACACGAAAGCTGATACCCAGAATTAAACTTTGTTGGCTTTAAAGGTGCCACTGGACTCAGACTTTGTTCTTTTGCTTCAGACCAATACAGCTGCCCACATGAATCTATCTCTGAGGTTGGCCGTGCTTAGCTTCCAAGACTGGAGGAGATTGGGCTAGCCTTGGCCATCCAGATCAACGTAGAGAGCCAGTGTGGTGTAGTGGTTAAGCGCAGCAGGCTCTAATCTGAAAACCAGGTTTGATTCCCCACTCTTTCACATGCAGCCAGCTGGGTGACCTTGGGTCAGTCACAGTTCTCTCAGAGTAGTTCTCTCAAGAGCAGTTCTCTCAGAGCTCTCTCAGCCCCACAGGGTGTCTGTTGTGGGGAGAGGAAGGGAAGGCGATTGTAAGCTGCTTTGAGATTCCTTTGAGTAGTGAAAGGCATGATATAAAAAAACAACTCTTCTTCTTCTTCCTAACCCTTTTTAATTCTCCCCCCTTCCTAGGGAAGGGAGAGGACACTGGAAGCAACTCCATTGGTTGCCCCAAGGAATCTAGTATTCCAGGCTTCCGTAAGAGCCTTCGCAGAATTGTTGCTTAGACTGCCAGAATCAATCAAATATTCTAGAATCCTAATGGATCTGTTAGTCTCTGAGGGCGGAAAGTCCCTCAACAGCCTGCTGCCCTTATAGCGAGGTGGTACTGTAAACCACCTGTGCCTCCAGGAGAAGATGGTCTGACCATGGCACAGGATGTGTATTCAGCTCCCTGATCTGACCAACCAGATTCCTGCCCAGTACAAAAAAAGGTAAAACCAGCATGTGACTCTTTCCTCGTATAGGCCTGAAAGAACCTGGGGGACAGCCCTGCATTAACCATGACAGCCAAGAAGCCCCACCAGCATGACCTTTTCAAGGCTGCTTTTACATGGATATGGAGATCTATCAGAACTATCTTTCTGGGCCTTTGCAACCCCAG